CTTCCTCCATCCCCCAGCCCAAATACTAGGAACCACAAGCAGAGCGGAGAGAGAGAGAGGCCGGATGGCTTTGAGAGATCACTTCCCACCGGGGTTTGAGAGAGAGATTTCCAGGCATGGGGGGGAATCCTTAAACGGGCACGACAGGGTGTCTACCACCATCTCCCGGGAGGGCACACAGTCCCCAAACTCCAAGAAAAGGCAAAACGGGGTCAACGGGAGAATTTCTTCCGAGAGCCGTGTCCTTCGAACCCTTCGGGACGGAGCCGTAGGGGTACGCAGAGTCCTTCTGTATCTTTCTTCTCCTTCAGGGGGAAAGAGGGCGTCGCTGGCTAAGGCAGCTTTTATTTTCCCCGTCCCTAACTGCCCCAGAGGGCAGGTCGAGAGCCAAACACATTGCTGCGGGTGTGGAGTCACGTGTAGGCCAGACCAGGTAAGGATGGCAGTTTCCTTGCCTAAAAAAAGGGGACATGAGTGAACCAGATGGGTTCTTCCCCACCGATTTAAAAAAAAACCCGACAAACGGTTTCACGGTCATCTTTAGACCGTTAATTCCCAAATATTTTTGTTGGATTCGCGGTGGGATTCGAACCCGGGTCCTCTGGGTTAACAGTCCAGCGATAATACCACCGGGCTATCGCCTCCCCAGTGTATAATGCGATAAAATCCCTGGAGCATCAGAGGCGGGGGGACCTTATAGAGGTTTATAAAACCACGAGGGGGGCATGGATAGGGGTGAATAGCCTTTCCCCAGGGTGGGGGGAGTCCGAAACTAGAGGGGCGTAGGTTTAAAGGAGAGAGAGAGACAGGGGCTCGGGGGAGGGGGGGGGGTAACATTTTCACGCAGAGGGTGGTGCGTGTGTGTGTGGAACGAGGAAGTGGTGGGGAGGAGAGGGAGGAGAGGGAGGAGAGGGAGGAGAACATGGAGGAGTATCTGGGGTCAGCACGGGCCGAAGGGCCTGCGTTCCCGCGCCCCTGCGATCCAGTCCCCGTTCAGAGCCACGGCACGGAGACGGGCCCTTCGGCCCATCCCCGCGCGTGCCGGCCCAGGTATCCCAAAATTAGCCCAGTGCCCGTTCAGGATATCTGGGTCAGTATTAAACGCGTCGGGCGGGCAGGCGGGCGCCACCCCCACCACGAGAGGGTCTGCTTCCGCGCAAGCGAAGAGCACAGCCACACACCCCCAACACGCGCACAGCCACGCCCCCACACGCACAAAAAAAAAGGACCAGAGCCAGAGATGGGGTGCTATCAAAATTCTCTCCTTTTAATGTGAAGCGTCAGGATAAGACAGCAAAAAAAAAAAGTCAGGTGACCACCACGAGATAGAGAGAAGGCGCGCGCGCGCGGTGCGGACGCGCATGCACGAAGATAGAGAGCGCGCGCGGTGCGGACGCGCATGCACGAAGATAGAGAGAGATATAGAGAGCGCGCGCGCGAGAAACGGGAGGAGGAGGAGGAGCAGCAGGCGGCGATGGGATGTAGGAAAGGCGGGGGGGGGCGGCCGCGGCCCGCCGGTCAGGCCACTTCCTCGTCGTCCTCCTCCTCGAACTCCCCCTCCTCCTCGGCCGTGGCGTCCTGGTACTGCTGGTACTCGGAGACCAGGTCGTTCATGTTGCTCTCGGCCTCGGTGAACTCCATCTCGTCCATGCCCTCGCCCGTGTACCAGTGCAGGAAGGCCTTGCGCCGGAACATGGCGGTGAACTGCTCCGAGATGCGCTTGAAGAGCTCCTGGATGGCGGTGCTGTTGCCGATGAAGGTGGCGGACATCTTGAGGCCGCGGGGCGGGATGTCGCACACGGCCGTCTTGACGTTGTTGGGGATCCACTCCACGAAGTAGCTGCTGTTCTTGTTCTGCACGTTCAGCATCTGCTCGTCCACCTCCTTCATGGACATGCGCCCCCGGAAGATGGCCGCCACCGTCAGGTAGCGGCCGTGGCGCGGGTCGCAGGCCGCCATCATGTTCTTGGCGTCGAACATCTGCTGGGTCAGCTCGGGCACGGTCAG